ACTATCCGTGACCTTAAAATTCGACAATTTGTGACTAAAAATTAATCTGTGACCTGTAATTTTTTGATCTGTGACCAATAAAATAATCTGTGACCTGCAAAATTTTTAATCTGTGACCGATAAACAAATTGTGACCTATAAAATTTTTGACCTGTGTTGTGATCATTTGAAAGTAAGTCGTAACTATAAACAAAATTCTGATTTGTGACCTGAACTGTGACTTGTGACCTGGACTGTGACTTGTAACCTGAACTGTGACTTGTGACTTGAGTCGGAGCAGTCGCCGAAACGGCCACCGAAATCGAAGTAGTCGCCGGAGCAGTAGCCGGAATCGGCACCGGAGCAGTCGTCGAAAAAGTCACTGGACTGGTGGGGGGTGGTGGAGGTGGGGGTGGGTTAATTGTGTGTATATATATATGTATGTATTTATTTATATCTTTTTATATATTTAAATATTTATAAATATGTGTATGTATAGATCAAAAATTCTAATTTTTGAAATGTGAAAGTTGTTTTGTTATTTTTGAAATAGGGTAAAGATGAAGTAGGATAAATGAATTTTTCCCTTTTATAAACTCTTCTAATTGGACTGTTTTATTCTGCCCATACTTCTGAGAAGCCCTAAGTGCATATTTAGCATGTTCACATAAACAATACAATGAACAAAATTCTAAGAACACGACAATCCCGTGCACAAAATTTGCGCATATTAGCAAGTTGAGAGAACCTCAACTTTGATGAAAAGAACTAAATAAATAAATTAAGCAATTTACAAGTACGACAACGAAAATCTTAAAAAGGGATAAATCAAGCAATGGAGGAAGAGGAAACAATATTACATTTGTAATACTTATAAGTCGTAATCTTTACAGGTATCACGATTCCAAGAGATGCCGGCTTGAAAATTCACTATTTGAAGAATGAAACCGGGTGTCAGCAAGGGTTCCCAAAATCTCTTGCATGATTTTGAATGTGGGGCAATGAAGTCACGAGCTTTGACAATTCCATTCACCACCGAAGGGTGAAATCGAGCTAACAAAAGATATTCGTTGAAAATAGTGGATAAATAAGACAACCTCATTCAGCAAGGCTTCCTTTTGTCCACCTTTGAGTGAAGATTGTACCATCTTTTCTTCCTTGACCGGTCCCTAGAAGGTGTTCTTTTACTTACTTCCCCCTCATCACTTTCCTTGAATGTGCCCTTGTTCTTGCTTCGGCTACTACCACTACGTTTTATTTGTGGAGTGACAGTGTAGGCAGCGTGTATTTCATTTCTCCGTTTAAGAAGCTCGTCAATCTGCAATTTCAACAAGAACCACAGGTTTCAAATTGTCCAAGAATAACAACCCACCGATTGAAAGCACTTGTAACTTTGGCTACAGATCAACTTACAGCTTGCATTTCTTGTGTGTATCTACTCGTCATTTCAGTAAATTGACCTAGAACCTGTTAATACATCGCTAGAAAATAAGTAAAATACAAACTGCAGTGTACAATATAATTTATGGACAAGAACAGACCTCCTTATATTCGGTTTCAAACTTAGAGAGTTCCACCCTTTTTGACAAAATTTGGGTTTCCACATTTCTAAGGTTCTCTTTTTCTTCAATGAAAGGTGCAGCACAGAGAGCTTCAATGGTGTAGCTTGCGCTTTTGAAAAAATTATCACCTACACAAACAGGAGCATTTAGATTTATCTTTTTACATGGTTAAACAGTATATCGCAGAAAACTTACAAGGAAAAGGAGGTACCATAAACAGCAAAATAATGGGTGCCGGACTTTAGTTCATTTATTTCACATGGCTGAAATCCATCCAGCTTCTTGAAGAAAGCTGCATCCGGATCCTTTGCTGCTGCCATCTGAATCAGGCTCAAAAAAAAAAGGAATGCTGAATGACATGGATGGACAACTACATACTTAAGAGGGGGATGTGGTTGAACAAATTATTTACTCACTGAATTATGTGTTTGGACCATTCGGTAAACAGGGAATCCAAGAAAATACATCCCAGCGGATGTAACCTTTCCCCTTTTTGCACTATCCTCCTACACGGGAAAAGGCAATATATCTTATACAGGAGCTACATTCATGGAACAACATGCATTAAATATCCCTCGTCATGGTGCATGTTCTATTGAGTTGATAATGTTTCCGAAGAACATGAAAAGAAGCAAAAGATATGTGAGTTTCAACCTGTAGAACAAGGCTTAATCCACCATTATCTTCCTGATCGAAATACAATAGCTGCAAAGAAAAAAGGACAGAGTTAAACTAATAAGATACCTTTTCATATGAAATAATACTAGTTGATCATCAAGATTGAGGAAAAAGAATATTATATTTTATCCGTAAGAGAACAAGAAGAAAATAGCAATCTTGAAATTTGACTCACAAGAAGATCCTCGAACTACATTCTGTACAGACAAGTATCTACAAGAATCAACTAAATATATTTGCTTTGAAAATCAACCTAATTGCAGCACTTGACCAAGTGACACAAATTGATACATTTCCAACTCCAAAGCCCACAACATCAAACAAGAAACAGCATCCAAGTAAAAAGTATTTTCTCTTAGGTGTGAAAGATTAGATTGGTCATCGTATAAGCATCATCAAAACTATCCCAAAATAAAGATCTATCCAAAAGTTATATTGGGCATCCAGCTTTAGTCATATATAATGAATTTATGAAATAAAGGAAAACTTAGTTTGATACACTAAAAAGAAAAAAAATATATTGATACTCAAGAAAATTTATGCTCTTAGTAGCATACTCAATTAAGTAAAATACAAAACCATCGACTAGAGAAATAGGCCTAAAGCAGCAATGGCTAGTTGCTCACAAGGGAGACAACAAAACTGGGAGACAAATCAGCCATTCAAAATCAAAGGCTACAAGAATGCATCATTTCTTCAGACAACTTGCAAAACACCAGGTATAAATACTGTCTCACATTATATTTCCCTTCCGTAAATGAAACTTTTAGTTCTGAAAACTAGTGGGGATACAGTTTTATCATTTCTTATATCACTGCAAGGGACGTCAGAGTGTCTGTGTGATATATCGAAGAACTGAGTTGACAAATTAGATTCTAAATACATTCCTGATTCCCCTAGCTTCATTCAGAACTAAAGATAATCATCTAAAATTATGTTCAAGTGTTAAATCCTTAAATAACAAAAAGTGTTTTGTTATAGAAATAAATTCATAACTTAAACAAACCTCTAGAAAATTCAGTCAAACATCACCCGCCACAGAGATAGATAAAACAAAGCTTTATAAGCATGTTTCGAGTGTTGCGAACAACCTGTGTAAAATGATTGTAAATAGAACACAAATGTAGAGAATAAATCAAATAGCAGTCTCATTGCTATGATTATATAACCTTATCAAGGTTTTCTCAGCCTGATGACATAAAGGATACAATTTAATATAGCAGGCTATAGTTGGATTACACACTGCCTATGAAGTAGATATATGATGCAAGATTGTACATAATTATTTTTAATTAATACTTCAACTTTGACACCCTAAACAAAGAGCTACAATCGGGACCAGCTCCACTCCAAGCAACGAAAACATGAGTCAATTGCATATCTTATGCTCTAATACGTAGGGCTGACTGTTAACAAACCTTTAACTTGCTCTTCTCTGGCGAATAAACTCGGCAAACAAATCCCCCCTGTGCTTCCTCTTCTGTTATGGTAACAGAATAAAAATGAGCAGTTTGCTTGTCAACCTGTTAAAAGAAGAAAATGAATTTCTCTGAACAAATCATACTTAAAGCATTTGATTACTGTATACAGAAGCATAGAACAAAACCCTACCTTCCTACACAAAGGTTGCCCAAGTAGAAGTGGACGAATGGTTACCACGCCATTCAATGCTTCCTCCAACACAGTGGCTGATACCGTAGTTTTGATGGGAACACCAAGTTTACTACTTGCAAGATACAATAGTACTGTTAGTTTATGAAATACAAACCAATTTATTTTATGAGAACGCAGCCATGGACGGAAGCAGAAAAAGAAAAACAAGAAGATACAGATAACTGATATTATAACTGACCTAAAAAGTGCAGCAAACATAGTATTGACAGCACCAAGGCTTGAAAGATCCAGTTCCAGTTCCTGGCTTTCCGATTCAACAGCCTGTCCAAAGAAATTGTTTTAAATTTTTAAATTAAATAATTCAAAATTGGCTAAATTAACTGAAGTAAATAATGGTTTGGAACACAAGGCCGAGCATAGATATATTCACCTCAAAACCAGCTGTGTCATATTGATGCCTTTTATCTGGATCAGACAAAATATTATAAGAGAATGTGACCTCCTTGAATATATCTGCTGCTTTAGGGTCATTTGCATTCTTGTCCGGATGGTACCTACAGTTTTTTTAAACAAGCATAAGTAACAACCAACAACTTTGTCTGACTCACAAAACAGAACTGCTGACACGTAAGGGCACAAACACGAACATGCACATGCACACAGAGAGAGCAACCATTTTACAAGATATTATTCAGATCACCAACAAAGCGTCTACCAATTAGGGTGATAATATAAATTATTTTTCCTCTTATTGGCAATAGATTCCTTGCAATATATTGTAAAGAGTCTTATATAATTGGATATAAAGGTAATAAATGAGAGCTTGAATAGTGGAACAGATCAACAGCAGACACAGGACAAGGAAAAGAGAACAGAAGAAAGACGAAGAACTAGACCACCAACTAGGCAACTTCTGGAATGAGATTTTTCCTATCATGGATTTATTCACAATTTTCACTTTGTCCAAACAATGAACTTAAAATGGCATTTCTGGCGAACTGAAGTTATTTTCAGAACTATACTTCCTAAAGCTGAGATGTGCCAACTTATCAATATTCAAATAGTCTTTTTCTTTTTTCAAAATCAGAGATTGAAACAGTGCAACCATGGCAAGTCCAGAAATAAAGATAATTGCGTATCATCAGAAATCTGGAAAATGCCTATGTTACATCAAAGTTTTTCCTCTACCAGAACTAGTGCATCAGATGGTTATATTTTGCCCTTAACTTTCAACTAGCAATATCTACTTCCATACATAGGTCAACAGTATAATAGATCATTTTTAATTTCCACAAGCATGTGATTCTAAAATTTTTTAAACCTACTCCATTAAGTTTCTTTCGACAAAATCCACATTCACTTGTGACTGCTGAGTGCTCAAACTGCTAAGTACCATGTATTGAACTTCTAAAACTACTTAAGCAACAAGGTGTCAATCAACAACAAATTAGGCAAAGGTGAGTGAAATTTGACCTTTTTGGTAAAAATAATCAGCATAAACCTGGAAAAATTTACTATGAACAACAACGAAAATTAGTTAGGTGAAAGTATTGGTTTCTCATTCGGCCTGTAGCAAATGCAGAGCAACAGTTTCCTTTACAAAGTTAAATTAAGATGTGATAAGGAAAATGCAGTCAAACTCCAAGACATCTCCATATCCTACAAGCACCGTCAATCCTTTAGTCCCCTTCAGAATTTGACAGGAAGAAAGTTGTTTCCTTCACATTTTCTTTCAATTCTCATCCTATTTTTCCACTTGCGCAACACTAAACAATGCCATCTCTTAAAGTGAACCCTTGATGATATGCAAGTAACTAAAAAGTGTTCACACTCACTGAAGCCCAAATAACTTTTGAGAAAACAAATGCAAAGACAGCAAGTAATAAGAACAAAGTCCCACAACTGCAACAAAGCACTCTACACTGGGAGTTCTCCCTTCCTTCTCTTTTCTCCGCAAAAGTAATCAGTTATCAAAGGGACATGCGAAACAGAAAGTCGTAAAAACTTGTTAACTGTAGCAAACTTACCTTGTTATCCCAATGAAACACATATATATACCTACTAATACCAAAATTAATAAAAACAATGTCACGGCAATATTAGCTAAATTAAGTAAAATCAGCCAAAAAATCAAGAAAATAAGTAAAAGTAAAACAAGATAATGAACCAGATAATAAAATTAACATACTTTAGAGCCATTTTCCGATAGGCACTCTTGATTTCCTGATCCGTAGAATTAATGTTAACCCCCAAAACCTCATAAGGGTCTCTTCGCAACTGCTTCTCACCTTCTTTTTTCGCCGTCTTCGATCTGTGCCCTGGCATTTTCTTATTTTCGAATCCACACACAAAAAGAATTCGTAAAACAGGAGGTAATTTTTTTTTTTTTAGCTCAATACAAGCCCAAATCTCGACACAAATATTCAAGTTCTTCCCACATTTCAGTAAGACATAATGTTCTGCGTATTTTAGAAAGATTATGGGAAGAATAAGATGGAGAAATGTAGGGAAACCCTAAAACTGACTCACTAGAAACTTATTTTTAGAAAAAAAAATTGAACTTTATTGAGAAATTAATCGAAAGTTCGTCATTTCTGAGGGAAAACTGATGATGAAAACTTCGGAAATTTCTCAAGAATGGAACAATTTGAGGACAAAAGGCTGAGGCAAAATGCAGTGAAATTAGGTGGCTTTTTTTTGGTTTCTGTCTTCTTGTTCTTTTTATACAGGAGAAATTCCATTGCTGGTCCTCAACCTTTTAAAATAAATGAGTCAATCTCCCCAACCTTTCAATTTATTAGCATACTAAGTACGTATATGTAGGAATCATTCAAATAATTATTAAGCCCTTGTTTGATAAGTATTTACATTTAAATAGTTATTGACTGTGAGTTATACTGAACGTGAGAATAATAGAAAATTTGTAGTTATGAATATTACGAAATGTGTGATTAACAAAATATTTTAATTATTTTCCAAACGTGCTCTAAATCATTAACTTTATTATGAAGCTAAATTCTTCTGCTAACTTGGACTAGCGCTTATAAACTTGAATTTTACGAGATTTAGTACAATCATTATTTGAGTAAGATAGAGTTTTGAATAGTAATTTGTTGGAGTGTTTGGTTATAAAGTATGAAAAAAATTAAATTTACGTACAGAGTATTTTATTGTATAAATGTATGATTGAAAATTAATATGTAGAAAAAAAATAGTTTTGAATTACATTATTTAGATGTTTTCATCACATAGGACTAACTTCTCCTTTTCAAATATAGAAGACAAATTTGATATTGGAACAATTCATTGTGGACCAATGGTGTAATTTTCCCTCTTACATACATTGTGTTGAAAAAATTCAAATTTATTGTAATCGCTTGCTAACATACGCGGTGGGTACACTGCGCTGCTTCATAGCGTGAATCTTAGTAGGGTAAGTAGCCCTTCGCCACGTGAGAGAATTATTGGCCACCAAGACGGATGGCGTATCGTACGCGCCCTGGCGCACGCAAAAGATGGGACCGATTTTGATTTCCTTTTTCTGTCATTGGTTTTAAATTAAGGTTATGTAGTTAATTATTGACTAATTAATTAATAAAGTAGATCAGATTCACTGGCATTATTGAAGGGTAAAAGGTAAGACATTAAAATCACAATCAGTGTGGTGAGAATGACTATGAAATTTGACCCAAAAAATACTCATGTGATAATGATGTGTAATTATGTTTTATTTGACCATTATGAATACGATTTATTTCCACACCTACAAATATAAATCTCTAACCCCCGTTTGGCCATTAATTGGTAAAAACAAAATTTTGTATAGTGAATTTTTGAAGAATGCGTGGTTAAAAAGTAAAAAAAAAAAATTACGTTTACATGCAAAAATTTTTATTTTGTAAATGTGTAATTGAGAATTATTATGTAGAAAAAATAGTTTTGAAATAAAAAAATATCAAACATGAGCTAGTTTAACTTTACATTTTTTTCACTCGACCCTTTCGACTCTAATTTTTACACCCATAGATATGAATGTGGCTTTCATGCTAGAAAATATCAATATATGGCTTTGTAATTATACTATTGATTAGATTCCAAAATAGGTTAACGAAAAAATAAAACAGTATCATCAATATATAATAATATCTGAGTTGAGAATCATTTAACATCTTCACTAATATTTGATAATTCTTGATATGTCCCTCGATTAATATGATCTTTAATGAACTCTCAATTAAATACTCATATATGCTCACATATGTACTTAAATAATAATATCGATGTAATTATTTTATCACGAGTAATGCATCAAATTACAAATCGTCACATGTATGTCTTGTAGGACGACTATCAGTAATTTTCACCATGAATAACATTATTATTTTATCACCCATTCAACTTCAAGCCTATTAAGATTTCACACAATAGCATGAAAAGCCTGTTTCCATCATATTACTAAATTATGTATCATGTTGTAAATTGTAAATTATTGTTAAATGACAATTGTACCCCTACAACCCTATAAACTATTACCATATGTATCTCTAATCCTTCTCCATAAATATAGAGTTTTGGTTCTCATTATAATACACATAAGTCTATTGACTTTTATTCTCTATTTTTTTTCTATTTTCACAATACGTTAATAGCACGTTTTCTCTCCAAAATAGTATATATTTAATTGTACACAGATGCAATAATTTCCTTGCCACAGTAAACAATTTTTTTTTTCGCGCCTCCATAACATGTCTCTTCCTCTAACCATAATTTTTTTCTCTCTAAGATAAAAGGATGCACCCGATTTATGTCTGCATAAAATATCTCTTTTTCTCTTACCCATAACTTCTCTTTCTAAGAAAGTAACAACATGTGATTAATGATTGTCCATCATCAAATCAGACACATTCAATTTATTACATTGACAGGCTGACCGAAGTGAGGTACTTGTCTTTTATGTGTTCGGTAGTTTAGGAAGAATATATGTTTTAAGAGATTTCTATGCTCAGAAATTTGGTAAGAATTGTCTTCATTTTCTTTTCTTCTTGTATATTACTCAATTAATTATCGTTCAATTAATTATTATGCTTCTATTATAAAATATTATTGCTCCTAAAGTAGCACATTATTATTGATATTTTAGTTAGATTTTACTTGCTCTTGAAAAGCATAATTATGTAAAATCTAACATAAATTATGTTTTTACTCCAAAAGAGTAAATTTTTAAATAATTTTATTACATAATATTTGATTGCTCCTGAAAAACATGAATTATAATGCTCAATATTCCAGAAGAATATTGACATATTACCCTTGAAAAAGCAATAATAAAATACAACATGCATTCGAAGTAGTACATGTTTCGAAAAATGTATCTTTCCATGTCGACATTTTAGTTATTATTTGTATCTAATGGATTTAATATATATATTAAATAGTTGCGTGATATTTGCAACCTGAAGTTTGCAAAATTATTACTTAAATTTTAAATTATGAACATAATTTTCAGATTATATAATCAAGACGGTGTATCTTGTTAACAATCATAAATCTCAACTTTTTAATAAGTGTTAGTTGAGACGTCAATAAATGGTTTAACATTATTGTTTGTTAAACGCCTCCAACTAATTTAATTTAGAACAAAATATTTTCAATTTCTGTTTATAGAATGCATCATGCCAGCATCAAGTTCTCCCTATTATAATTAGCTTATGGTTAGAGCTTGATTTTTTTCATCTAATTATTTGATAGTACGATTTATGTACAATTAATCCACAACATTACATTGAGGTGGAAAGTAAAGAATATTGAGAATAAATATGCAGTATGAACCATTATCCCAAATGGGTGATATTTTATAACACGAAAAAAATGATTGTCAATTTGATTTGACAATTCTCTCAGTATAGGGATGTCAATGGGCGGAGCTGAGCCAGCTCGGCCCATATCCACACGAGCTAGGCTCGTGCGAGCACGAGCCGAGCTTAAGCTCGACTCGTTGGATTTTGGGCGAGCTCGGCTCGTGCTCGAGCTCGCCCAAGGCGAGCAGCTCGCCGAGCCTGCTCGTGGAGCGGCTCGTGGGCTCATCTATTTTTTTTTTTCCTCCTAACATTCTATAATCCCCTCCTACATTTTTTTTAAAATAATAAGAACAAAATTTTATTTTTTGAGTTTTCTTTTTTTGTTTACCCTTTTATATTTTATTAAACATAAAATATACACATTTTATAAACAATTTTTTTAAAAA